ATCCGGGATCTTGCCCTTTCGGTCATGACCCAAAGCTCATGACCATAGGTGAGAGTTGGAACATAGATCGACCAGTAAATCGAGAGCTTCGCCTTACAGCTCAGCCCCTTCTTCACCACGACAGACCGGTACATCGACTGCATTACTGCAGAAGCTGCACCGATCCACCTGTCAATCTCCCATTCCATCCTTCCCTCACTCGTGAACAAGACCCCAAGATACTTGAACTCCTCCACTTGAGGCAGGAACTCCCCACCAACCTGAAGGGAACAAGCCACCCTTTTCCGACTGAGAACCATGGTCTCGGACTTGGAGGTGCTGATTCTCATCCCAGCCGCTTTACACTCGGCTGCAAACTGCCCCAGTGCACGCTGGAGGTCCAGGTTTGATGGAGCCAACAGGACAACATTGTCTGCAAAAAGCAGAGACGAGATCCTGTGGTCCCCAAACTGAGCTTCCGGCCCCTGGCTGCACCTAGAAATTCTGTCCATAAAAATAATGAACAGAACCGGTGACAAAGGGTAGGCCTGCCAGAGTCCAACATGCACTGGAAACAAGTCTGACTTACTGCCGGCGATTTTCGTAAGTTCAATTTCAATTCAGTTTTATTTGTAGTGCCAAATCACAACAAAAGGTATCTCAGGACACTTAACAAAGAAATGTGATCTCTCTTGCTAGTTCCTGTCAGTACTCTGGCTGCAGCATTTTGGATTAACTGGAAGCTTTTTAGGGAATTATTGGGACATCCTGATAGTAAAGAGGTACAGTCGTCCAGTCTGGAAGTAACAAATGCATGGACCAGTTTTTCAGCATCACTTTGAGACATGATGCACCTGATTTTTGCGATACTGTGCAGGTGAAAGAGACTTGGTTTGTGTGATTTAAAGGACATATCCTGGTCAAAAATGACTCCAAGGTTTCTGACAGCAGCACTGGAGGCCATAGCTATGTCATCTAAAGTAATTATATGGTTAGACAGTAGATCGGCGCTGCTCTCACTCACTATTTAGTTACAATTTCCTCAAATAATCAAGATTCACATAGACATACATTCTTGACTAGACTAGAGATAAATGTTGTGCCTCTTTTTGATAGTTTGATCCTGACAAAAGCAACTTAGGTGTAGATAAAGTGGGAGACACATCTTCAATAGGCTCTGCCCTCCCACAGACCGCAATAAATTTCTAGCAGACAATCACCTTTGGTACAACACCATAAATGCAGTGATTAACCTACAATATATTTTTGTTGTATCATTTTAAAACCAATTAAAAGTTTATGAAGTTGCTTGCAAATAAATTGCATTGTGTATAGTAGATAAATAGATAATAACATGGCACATTTATTGTATTGTATTACATAACCTCCCAAAAATTTCACTTTGAGATTTGCTAGGCATCCAAGCTGTCAATCAAGTGAACTGAGACCCCTAAGACCCCCTGTATTCCACACATCTTTTGTCTCATCATAATATGAGTGACATCCATCAAAGTCAGGTTTCCATCATCATTTTTAATGGTGTTGATTGGAGCTGGTTTGACTAGCCATTACTAAAGTCCACCCTGACTCCAGCTGCTCAGAATACATTTCTCCCACTAGTAATGTATTCCATCGCTCTTCCAGATTGTGCCTGGTTGGAGTTTAGACTTGCGTTTGCTTCTGTCTCTCTTTCAGAAAAATAAAGCCCAATATGTGTGTATGTGGTCTAATTGTAAAGTGATACAAATGGGTTGTACCCAGTGTCAATTTTGACAAAAAATCATGACAAAATTCCATAGCACTCACCACATAACACACACAGACATAGATACAAGCCCAGACAGAGGTCCATGCTATCTCAGAATGGCTGGATCAGTGCCTGTGGACTCTGAGCTGACTGCGTGGCAGTGTTTTCCGGCACCATGTGGGGCCCATACATTTTAACCATAGCAGCCCCCCACACAACACACTCTGTGGAACACAGTCACAGAGTGTTTCACTTATATGGCACATACTGTACCTACATGGATTAGCTTAAGCTCCCCACTTGTGAGAATCATGTCTGAAAAAGCATATTACTGGAAAAAATATGCAGATACTCAAACATGCACATACAAGAGAGGATGTACTCTACTCACACACATACTGTGTATACAGTCACTGAGATTAAGCAATGAACATACCCAATTTCCCACAGAGAAAGCGAACCCTGTAGTTGTGACAGAGGCCATGAACCTGGTCCTTGTTGAGGCAGACAAAGCCGTAGTCCTTGTCATTGTTGCGGATCACATCTCCTGTCTGGTTGGCCTGTATGCCATCCTGGGTTTCAGCCTCACCAAGGGAAAGATGAATGACAAAAATGACTAGAGGATACTTTTGCAAAGACATTTTTTAAACACCAAAATATTATTGTCAAATTTGTGACATTCCAGTGGTATTGTAGGTGACAGAGTTCCTCAAACTTAAAGGAACATTCAATTGTTCTATAATAGGCTCATGTGTTTCTTGACTGAGAGAGACAGAGAATTGTCTAGACACTTGGAATCAAGACATCCCTTGCAGAGACATGTGGTATTTGTCTAGTGTCTGGCTTATTTTGTTGGTAAATAGCAGGGATTTTATAAAGGCCATCTGTACTGAGGATTAGGGCTCAGTGTGCCCTCATAATACAAAACTCAGTAATTCTGCACAGCTGGCACAGTTTTCTTCAAGGTAATAGCACTTTCTATAGGATCATAAGGAGTATGCATATACTTTTGCTTTTCAATTTATTTCACAGCTGCTTTTCTGACTGTTAAGACTCAAAATAACGGAAATCATTGTGGGGTTCAGGGGAACCACTCCCTGGATTACTTGCACCTCCTCCACTGACTGTAAACAACATATATTTTCACATATACATGTAAACAAAATATTGTTGAATAAATGACAGTATGGTGCTTTTTTAAATTTGATCAGTTATTTCTCTGCTAATATATGAATACAACCTCATATAGCTAAACTTACCTAGATTGTTGGTGGGTTTATGATATATTAATAGTTTTGTTAGTTTTTTCTCATAATTTGCAGTAAATATTGGAAAGTTATGTGTTAGGTGATGTCCTTTGGTCACCATTTCAATTTGACTACTTTAGTATCCAAATACTAAAGTATACTCTAGTATACTTTAGATATGCTGATGACGAGGGCAATCTGATGCTAAAATTGACCTAAATAGAACCCTCCAAAGTTTGCTGCTTCGGTGTCACCTTGGTACACAGAGATGGTTAGAGAGGATGAACTGGTCACTTTCAATCTCAAATCTATCAAAGTGTTAATATGGAGATAAAATACTATCAAAAAT